CTGGAACGATTCTGTGATTCTATGAAATGGGACCCACCAGGTCTCTTTGGGCTTTCCAAGCTCTTTGGATCAGGGCACCTGCCTGCCACAGTAACCAGGATAAATCCCATGCACTGGGGCAAGCAGCCTGGGCTGAGCTAGAAGACCACAGAGTTTGCATCCAGCAGACTCAGAGATAATTTTTCTCCTTGCACCCCCCCAGCTGGACCCCTCCTTCCACTGCACAGTTTACAGGGTCTGTCACCAAGGAGGTGGTGGGGCAAGCCGCTGGTGCTGGTGGAGAGAACCAGGCGAGCTGGCAGAGCTGCTAGAGAGGGGGAGAAGAACCAAGCCCACAACAGGATTCTTACCGTGTCCCCAATCTTGAGCCCCATGCAAGACTTGAGCCCGGGGATGACCTCGTCGTCGAGGCAGGTGGCATTGAAGGCCAGGGAGAGCTCCTCGGGGAGGTCACGCACCTCCAGCTCCACCTTGGAGCGGATTTTCTAGGGGAGGAGAAGACAGGACAGGCTGGGCAGGGCTCAGCCCAGGGAGGGGTCCCCCAAGCACCCCGACGATGGAGCCAAGTGCCCCAAGTCTTCCTCAGGACTCAGCTACATTGTCCCCCACCCGGGAAATGTCCTTGAGGATGGGAAGGGGCAGGTGGTGAACAGTGATCTCCCTGCCCCTTTAATGGGCTCAAGTTGCCCCAGGGGAGGTTTCAGTTGGATCTCCGGAAGAATTTCAAGTTGCCCCAGGGGAGGTTTCGATTGGATCTGAGGAAGAATTTCTTTCCTGGCAGAGTGGTGAGGCCTTGGCCCAGGCTGCCCAGGGAGGTGGGGGAGTCCCCAGCCCTGGAATGGGTTAAAAAACATGTAGACGTGGCACTTGGGGCCATGGTTTAGTGGTCATGGGAGTGTTGGGTTGGTGGTTGGAGTTGATGATCTTGGAAGTCTTTTCCAACCTTAATGTTTCTATGATTCCTTGGGGTTCCAGCATGTGTGGATGGAGCTGGATGCTCCCAACTGGCCCCAGGAGGATGCCTGGGACTGGGGGAGCTGCCAAGTCTGCGTGGGCTGCAAGCAGTGGCTGTTTTGGGAGGGAGGGCTGTTGTGGGGCTGTCACACTGCACACTCACCCCATAGGAGTCCACTATGAGCTGCAGGACGTTGCTGGAGTCTCTGGACAAGGTGCCCACGGTTGTGCCTGGGATCAGCTCACTGTAGTTCTGGAGGAATATCATAAGCATGGTCCACTCATGGTGGGTCAATGTGCCATGGCTGGGCCAAACCCAGTCCTGGCACACAGGAGCTTCCCAAGGATCCTTGATAGTACAGGAGACCACCAAGCTATGTCTGGCCACTCATG